TTATTGTGTGTGAGAAGGAGGATGAACATTTGTGAAAAAATGGATCACACGTGATGCAACTGATCCCAACTCGAGTTGTAACTCGTGTCAACTCGGCAACACCGAGTTGCAACGAGTTGGCCAACTCGAATCGGCTCGAATCAACTCGCGGCAACACTAGTCAAAGGAAAAAAGTCGCGCAAAATTTGTCCGTGGTATTTTGTATGTGATACCTGGAAGTACCCGGAAAGGTCCGATGGTGCATCAATCAGAGTCCAGACTCTTTGACTGATAGACTTGAGCCAGTAGCTATTTTGTAACATTTATGACAGTCGATCAATAGCACACTCAAATAGCATTGATCAAACGACTGTCTTTGATCTTTATGAAAATTGGACTGGTTCGAGTCTATTTGACTGACAACTCCGAAGAGTTTTGGAGATTCAGATCATTTAATACATATTAAATACACAAGCTCTGGGAGGTCTCAGGTATTTAGTATATTATACCATGTATAATACGCTCCGTATAATACATTCTTTAAATACCTCATTTCCGACCCGGCACAAGTGGCATGGATGACGATCCGGATAGATCCGTACAGCTGACAATCATCCGATATTGTTTGCTCGTGTTGATGTTCACTCCATTTCCACCCCACATTCCACTTTCCTGTAACATTTCATTTGCGCCATTTCGACTCTAACCTTATAAGTAATACATTCATCAGTTTTTTTCTGACGCTTCAAATGGGCTATACATTATTGCTCTCACCGAAATTGTGTCGAAATCAGCCGACAGTAACTCTTGTGTCGTGGAAAAGTGAAATGACTCGCCGAGCGTTCCAAAATGATGTCTATTATACTATATACTCATGTGGCTAGTTGATCATGAGCCAGCACTGTACGCGACGAAGAGGGCGAACTGCGCAAGCCATCCATACCTGCGAATGTCCCGATTCGGATGAGATCCGTGCGGATAAGGCGATCGGCGGATGTCATCCTGTTATCGGATGTCCGTGCCGTTCCCACCGAGCGTGCTCAATGCACTATTCCAACTTTGCTATCTGATCTTGTTTACTGCGCTGTATCTCCCGACTCTGAGTCATTCGGAGGCCAGAATTCAAACTGAATCGAGTTGGAAGAGGTTCAGAATCACTACAACTAGCGAGGCACGAGTTCTTGTAGTCTGTTGACTCTTGAGGAGAGACTACAAAGGGTCTATCGACTGCAGCCGGTTCAAAATTTGTAAGGCCTTTACGTGGTAGGGTGACCAATATTGTTTGCTTCGTCACCATTATCCGACGTCAGACTCACGCATGGTTAGAACCAAGTTAGAACACAGATCTGCCTTCCTGCCTTCCTTCCACCCCTGCAACTCGTCGAAATGGCCACCCACTTCAAATGATTTTTTTATTTCGCCATCACTAGTAGAGAAAACCTAGATGATTCTCGAGCGAATCTACCAACTTTACCACCGCCCATTTTCCATCCCAGGATTTAATTGTAAAGGGAAGGGAGGTTATTAGCTAATTTGATCATTGTTGGAAAGCGGTCGGCCGGGTTTGGGTACCTTTTCCCACCATTCGGCAACCGCGGACTTCCGAGAGACACCGAGTATTTATAAAGCAACCCCGTCTTACTCATCTACATCCCACGACAATGCCTGGACAATTCACCCTCGAGCTCGATACCCCCGCCTACAAGGGTGCCATTTCGGTCAATTCCGGACTCTTCATCAATGGAGAATGGGTTGATCCCGTCGCACCCGATTCCGTAGAGTGAGTCTTGTCTTTCCTTTGGATGACCTTGCCTGATTGTACCGATAAGTGTAATAAACCCCAGTACGATAGTTCACTGTATCGTGAGCTACTCATTCATTGTATATTCAAGCCAACGGGAAAAAGATCGCATCCGTATCGCTCGGTTCGAGTAAGGATGTCGATATTGCAGTCAAAGCCGCAACCAAGGTACAGCCATGCCTCCTAAGTATGTTGGGTACTGATACCGGTGTTAGGCGTACAAAACCTCCTGGGGCCTCAAAGTCCCTGGAACGGCTCGCGCAAAACTTTTGCACCGGCTGGCAGATCTTTTGGAGAGAGACAAGGAAGCGTTTGCGGCGCTTGAGTCGCTCAATTGCGGTGCGGACATTTTCAGCGACATGGTATAAGGAGCTTAGCTTTGGTGACGCAGGGAAACCCTTCCAGGTCGCGAAAGATCGGGATATCACTGGGTCCATTGCTCATTTCCGATACTTCGCTGGCTGGGCAGACAAAGTTCAGGGAAATACCGTGGAAACGAATGACCTCAGGCTCACGTACACGCGCCACGAGCCTTACGGCGTCGTCGTAAGCGCCTATTTTCCCACTCCGTCATTGCGCATTTATTCCTCCTTGTTAGGGTCAAATTATTCCCTGTCAGTGTGTTCGCAGCAATCTTTTTCCGGTAAAACTCATCGCAGCTGCGCCATTTAGGGAACTTCCCAAGTGTGTATCTAAACTAGTCTTCCTTTCTGCAAGTTTTGATTGTTTCACAGTGTTGATGTTGTCGTGGAAAGTCGCTCCCGCCCTCGCGACTGGGAATGCTATCGTCATGAAGGCGAGTAAACTTTTCCTTTCCCATCTCGTCAGGATTTAAATATCTGGGTAGCCTTCCGAAATCACGCCCCTGTCCGCTCTGAAATTTGCGGAGATCGTGGCTGAGGCTGGGTTCCCTCCTGGTGTTTTCAACATTGTGAACGGTTATGGTGCGTATCCCAATCCGCTGTTCTTTCATTCGCGTTGTTTTAAAAGGTTAATGGCAGGTACGACCGTCGGAGCCGCGATCAGCGAGCACCCGAATATTCCCTAAAGTTGCCTTTACCGGCAGCACTTTGGTTGGCCGCAAGATCTTGGAAGCCGCGGCGCGCACTAACTTGAAAGTCGTCACACTCGAACTGGGCGGGAAAAGCCCGACCGTCATCTTTGACGATTGCAATATGGAGCAGACCCTCAAATGGTCTGTTCAAGCCATGTAGTGCGTTTTTAGGCCCAGTATATTGATTGCCCTGGACTGATTACTCACTCATTAAGTGGGAACATGGGTAAGGCCCTAGATACTGACTGAAACATCTGACCTGCTTGCTAACCGAGGGGTTTGTAGGCCAGTCTTGCATCGCAGGGACACGTATTTACGTGCAGGAGGGGATCTATCCCCAATTCATCGAAAAATTCACGGCCCTCGTGAAAGGACTCGCTCAGGCGACTGGGGACCCTTTCAGTGGAAACACACGCCATGGACCTCAAATCTCCCAGACTCAATTTGACGTGAGATCTTGCCTCGACCTCTAATTTATAGATTGATTGATACGTTCGCGTAGCGGATCATGGCGTACATAGATTCGGGCAAGAAGAGCGGCGCGACTGTGCACCTCGGCGGAGATCGCCACGGCAAAGAAGGATACTTCATCCAGCCCACCATTTTCACGGACGTTACAGCGGATATGAAGATTGTCAAGGAAGAGATCTTCGGTCCCGTCGCAGTCATACTCAAGTTCAAGACCGAAGAAGGTTAGTGTACCTTATGTGTGGTCCTTGACCCCAGATTTGAGCTCGTTCACAGAGGTCATTGCGGCTGCGAACGACACAGTATACGGGCTGTCGTGTTGCGTATTCTCGGAGAATTTATCGAGAGCCATCCGTGTTACACACGCGCTGGAGAACGGCTCTGCGTTCGTTAACAGCGGGCAACTGGTCGATCCCTCTATGCCGTTTGGAGGTTACAAGCAATCTGGCATCGGACGTGAACACGGAGAATATGCACTTCACACGTCAGTCCCCTTGATTTGAGTCGTACCGTTGCCCCCAGACTCACTCGTGCTTTCCAGCTACACGCAAGTCAAGGCCGTCCATATCAATCTTGGCGTGAACATTTGATTCCAACTTGAAGTAGTAGTTCGATTTTTGTACTGAAGTGTAAATGTTGTATGAATTCATATGAGTGTCGCGATAGCACCACATCTTTATTTTCCCGGTTCAGCTTCGCACCACAAAATTAAAAGAGCACTGTGCTTCGGACGTTGTTTGGACGCCAGGAATAAAAGGCGACGCGTCAATCGGTTGAAAAATGGTGACCAAATACCGTTACAAAATGTACTACGCAACAGCTATTCGGACGCCAAGAGTCGAACCTGGGCCTCTCACCGACTCTGCGTTCTTGAACAACCGGAGGTGAGTGTGCGCCGTGCACCACGTCCAACTTCTCATTCTTCCTCTCTCTTTCCCTATACCCTCACACTCGCTCATTTGTCCTGAAGAAAAAAAATTATCCGAAGCCATCTAATTCGGACGCCAGCAGTCGAACCTGGACCTCTCACCGGCTTTTTTCTAGGCGTTGTTATGCCAGGTGAGCGTGCACTGTGCACCACGTCCGAGGTCCCTTCCTTCCTTCCTTTCCCCTTTCCCACACCCACTACTTCACGTATTTGTGCCGAGAAGAAAAAAAGATGTGGGACAAGCCTATATTCGGATGCCAGGAGTCGAACCTGGTCTTCTCACCAACCTTTTTCAAGACATTTTCATGCCAGGTGAGCGTGCGCCGTGCACCACGTCCGAGTTCCCTTTATCCCGCTCTTTCACTATATCCAGTGCATTTGTATTGAGAAATAAAAAGCCTCATAATTCGACACGAGTAATTCGGACGCCAGGAGTCGAACCTGGGCCACTCACCGACTCTGCGCTCTGGACGAACCGGAGGTGAGTGTCGCGCCGCGCACCACGTCCGAGTTCCCATACTTTCACTCCCCTTCACTATACTCAATCATTTTTTGCCGGAATGAAAAAGAGTTTGAGCAACATGATCGCATTCGACTAGGAGGCGAACCTCCTCTTCTCACCTACTCTTCTTGAATCTCACATTCACAATGCCATGCACCGTGCACCATGTCCGAGTTATTTCCCTACGGCTTTACCTTGCCACACCCACCACTAATACTTCCCCTCATTTGTATTCAGCAAAAAAGAAAAAATACGTCAGGACATATAAGTCGGACGCCAGGAGTCGAACCTGGACCTCTCACTAACCACCTCCGGATCCTCTACTGGAAGTGCGCGTGCGCCGTGCACTACGTCCGAGTTCCCTTTCTTTCTCTCCCTTTCAATATACACTCACGTTGAAACCATTTGTACCGAAAAAAAAAATTGATATCGTAGACGGCATTCGGACGCCAGGAATCGAACCTGGTCTTCTCACCAACCTTTCTCCAGGTATTTTCATGCCAGGTGAGCGTGCACTAGTACACCACGTCCCGAGTTCTCTTCTTCTTCTCCCCTTCAATATAAACTCACGTTGCAAACCATTTATACCGAAAAAAAAAAGAATTGAATATCTTCAAATCGTATTCGGACGCCAGGAGTCGACCTGGCCTGCTCATGTAAGCAACTCCTTCGTTCAATCGTCCTATTGGAGGTGAGCGTGCACCGTACACCACGTCCTGAGTTCCCTTTCTTCTTTTTCCCCTTTCCTACACCCACTACTTCACGTATTTGTGCCGAGAAGAAAAAAAAATGTAGGACGACCTTATATTCGGACGCCAGGAATCGAACCTGGTCTTCTCACCGACTTTGAGCACCTACCGTTATTAGGGGTGATGAGCGTGCGCCGTGCACCACGTCCGAGTTATTTCACTACGTTTGTCCCTCGCTATACACCGATGGTTTCAAATTGCAACGTTATACCAACTCCATATTTTCTCTACCGAGGCGCAGCAAATCCCATCGCGTTGGCGCTCAAATTGCCATTCACAGCGTCCGAAAATACGGACGGCAAGCAGGTATATGTATATGTATATAGAAGTACAATACACACGCATGTAATGTACACACTACAGTAGACAGCAGAATCGATAAATAAATCCAAAGGGAGGGATGGACACATAAAACCCAGAATAGACGACAAGAGGCCCCAAGCGTGTATGTATGTATGTACGAACGTACGGCGAATTGGATAGATGGATAGATGAAGAGACGAGTATGGGGGATAGATGAATGAGAAGTGGATGGATGGAGGGATAGCGCTGTGTTCAAGGTACGGGGATAGAGGAATGGAGTGGATGGATGGGAAGTGGATGGATGGATGGATAGCGCTTTGTTCGGGGTCGGTGGAGGTGAGCAACGCGTGGGGGGAGGTATATGCAGTCATGGATAGCGGTGGAGGCGAGCGAGATCCGGTAGTAGTGGTTGTGGGGAATATGTAGCATTGATATGTATGTACTGTACAGCGTGAAGGTATGGATAATCCGGGGTAAGCAGGTGGGGGTAGGAAGCGGGGAATACAGAAGTGGGGATCGTTTTTTTGGGGGTGGATGGAGGAAGGAGGGAGATTTTTTGTTGCGTGGTAGGAGGTCAACGAGTAGCGGAAAATAGTCGGTATTGGTGGAGGTGGAGGCCCTGCGTGGAAGGGTGAGTAGCGGATTTCGGAGTATGAGGCTCAAAATAGGGCAAAAGAAAGGGTGTGTCGAGGTGCGAAGACTATGCAAGAAAAGAATACACACCTACGACGTAAACCGGCGCTGCACCGTGGGGCGGCGCCACGACGCCTCCCACTCGACCAGTGCGCGCGCAAAGCCGGGATTGGGCTTTATGCATGCCCGCTTACGGCGCACGAAGGACAGCGCGGCCTCGTACGACATGGCATGATTGCGAATGAGGTAGGCGATCACGATCGAGGGCGAGCGGGACACGCCCTGCAAGGTATCAGTGCTCGAACTCAGGAATCACACGAGCCGATGGCGCACCTGCTGGCAATGTACTAGCACGCTCTCTCCGCGGCGCAGCGCCCGCTCGATGTACACACACGCCGCCTCGAGGTGGGGCCGCAGATCCACTGACTCCTTGTCGCGGATGTCGATGCTGTAACTGACGAAGCCGTCTTCCTGTCGACACGGCGGGGCCCAGGGCGCCTCTATTGCCTGGACGAGGTGAACGATGCCGTGGGCGCGGAGCAGCGGGTGATCGTTGACGGCCGAGAGCGAACCGAGGTACAGCGCGCCGGACAAGGGCGGGTTCTGGGCGTGTGCGGAGGGGTACGGCGCGTACGGAGAGGCGGACGACGGATGCGGCGCGGCCGGCGGCGGGATGGCCGTCGGCGGCAGGATCTGGTGCATCGGCGTGCACATCGCCTGCATCACCTCGGGCGGGAGCGTGTCGAACCGAATCATCGTCGCAGGAGGGGAGACGGCAGATGGCGCAGGGGTATAAGTACGACAGATTGGGCACGCTGACAAAGCGGTCTAGGCCCCAGCTGTGCGGAATCAATTCGACTGTCCAGGAACAACGCCACCCACGCGTGTTCGAACCCCGCCCGAACCCCGCTTTCATCCACCGCCCCTCTACCGCCAACGGATCTCAGTCGGCTCCTTACCGCGTAAATATTCTGGCTGAATGGCGAGGATCTAAGTTTGACGAGGCTCAACGGTCTTTATGCTTGCGGATCGACGTCTACATGAACGTACGAATAAATGCGAGCAGCATGCCAAAATATTACGGATGCGTGGAGCGAGTCAGCTATTCTTTATTCTTTATTTGATTGTTCCTTTATTGGATTTTGACAGCGCAGGCGCTTCGACCAACAATGGCAGCGTCAATTATTATTTATCGTTTATGTGATGAAATTCAGCACGTCCCGTCATTAGTTTCAGTACTAAATATTGTGAAAGTCATGCCGAATCCCCTGCTTTCATGACGATACATCATGAAACACTTCAAGATGTTTATGGGAACATTCATGATCTACTTTTCATGGCCATTTGTGATATATTTCGGTGCGGTTTGTCATGATTTTCATGACGAAAGACCGTGGATTCCATGATCTAAAAATCCAGAAAATATTGGCAAAATTAGATCATGAAAGACATCCTGAAATTTACGGGGTGTATCATGATGAACCATCATAATTCCTGAATTTTATGAAAATAATACTGAATTTCATGACAAATCCTTTTCACTGTGATCTTTTACAGCAAACAGGTCACTTCGGCCAACAATGCAGGCAATGTTGGTGCTTACCTTCCTTACAAATATTTATATCGCGTATGCAAAACCCTGTGAAAAAAAAAGAAACCATCAGCTGGCAAGCATGCATGGCTCGGGCCTGAATCGAACAAGCGGACTCTGCAGGAATACGGATTTCCTTAGTTTCTTATTATATGCAGCCGCGCACCATGCGCTACCGAGCCGTTCTGTATATCTTCTTACCCTCATTATATTCAACTTTTGGAGCTCATAAAAGGCGGAGCAAAAAACACACGCACGCAAATTCAAGAGACTATGAGTCGAACAGGCGGGCTCTGTAGGAACAACCTGTTTTATCACTGAATGCAGATGCGCACCGCTCACTAACGAGGCTTTCATGCAATAATGCAGGGACGTTCAATATATTCGTCTACTATTGTTGCACCATTACGCTGTGGGAAAAAAAAACGATGATTGGTACATGGCTCTGGCCTGAGTCGAACAGGCTTAGTCTGCAGCAATTTGTACTGTATAAACTCATTGTAAGCAGATGCGCACCGCGCGCTACCGAGCTTTCTATCCCTTTTCTTACTTTCTATATATTCATTCTTTTTGGCTGGTTAAAGAGCGTGGCGAAAAAAGTTGGAACTTCACAGGCTCTCGGGCCTGAGTCGAACAGGCGTAGTCTGCATCAAATGCCGATTCTACTGGTACCTCAAGTGCAGATGCGCACCACGCGCTACCGAGCCGTTCTGTGCATTTTCTTCCCTCCTAATATTTCAAGTTTTTGGAGCTGATAAAAAGTGTAGCAAAAAAACGGCAGATTTCCGGAACCATGGCTCAGACCTGAGTCGAACAGGCGGGCTCTGCAGGAACATCTGTATCCAAAGCTCATTATATGCAGCGGCGCACCATGCGCTACCGAGCCGTTCTGTATATCTTCTTGCCCTCATTATATTCAACATTTGGAGCTCATAAAAGACGGAGCGAAAAAATATACACGCAAAATTAAGAGACATGAGTCGAACAGGTCGGTTCTGCAGGAACAACCTGTTTTATCACTCAATGCAGATGCGCACCGCTCGCAAACGAGGCTTTCATCCAATGCAGGGACGTTCAGTATATTCGTTTATTGTTGTTGCACCATTGCGCTGTGGGAAAAAAGACGAGGTGCTTTCGAATACACATGGTTCGGGCCTGAATTGAACAGGCTTAGTCTGCAGCAACTTGCTCTTTACCATCTCATTGTATGCAGATGCGCACCATGCGCTACCGAGCCGTTCTGTATATCTTCTTATCCTCATTATATTCAACTTTTGGAGCTCATAAAAATCGGAGCAAAAATACACACTCGAAATTCAAGAGGCTATGGCTCGGGCCTGAGTCGAACAGGGAGGCTCTGCAGGAACGCATTTTTCATCAACGTTGTATGCAGATGCGCACCGCGCGCTACCGAGCCGTTCTGTGCATTTTCTTCCCTCCCCATCCTTCAAGTTTTTGGGGCTGACAAAAAGTGTAGCAAAAAAGAGCCTGATTTCCACCTTATGGCTCAGGCCTGAGTCGAACAGGCTTTCTCTGCATTGATTTCTGGATACCATATAAGAAAAGCAGATGCGCACCGCGCGCTACCGAGCCTTTCTATGCTTTTCTTACCTTCTATATATTCATTCTCTTTGGCTGGTTAAAAAGCGTGGCGGAAAAAGTTGCAACTCATAACCCCACGGCTCCGAGTCAGGCCTGAGTCGAACAGGCTTAGTCTGCACCAAATGAGGATTCCACGAGTACCTTCAAGTGCAGATGCACACCGCGCGCTACCGAGCCGTTCTGTGCATTTTCTTCCCTCCCTATGTTTCAAGTTTTTTGGGGCTGATAAAAAGTGTTGCAAAAAACGCCCTGCTCTTTTGTTTATGGCTCAGGCCTGAGTCGAACAGGCGTAGTCTGCGTTGATACCTTGATTACGCCGCCCAAGAAATGCAGATGCGCTCCACACGCTACCGAGCCTTTCTGCATATCCTCTTACCTTCATTATATCCAAATTTTTGGGGGCTGATAAATAGCAATAAAAAAAAAAGCGATTACTCTTGGCCCATGGCTCGGACCTGAGTCGAACAGGCGGAGTCTGCAGCAACTCAGTTTCGTGAACGCATTGTATGCAGATGCGCACCGCGTGCTACCAAGCCTTGTCCCTATCTTGTTTCCTTCCTTATATTGGACTTTGAACGATGATAAAAAGTATACCAAAAAAACGCGAACCGATCAGACCATGGCTCAGGTCTGAAGAATACAGGCAGAGGGATAGAATTATTGGCCGTTCCATCGACAAACTCATTCGTTTACAAGTCTTAAGTTATTAGTTTTGCCTCCTCTTGCCTCCGAATCTCCATTGAGTTTCGTTCTCTGAGCCGTCCTGTTCCGCCCCATACAAGTTATGCAGCACTCCCCCTTGAGTCGTCTATCTCGTAACTCCGCGGTTTGATATCAACTATCGGATAACTTGAAGGTTCAGATGGCGAGAGTTGCAAGCGAGCGGGAGGTCTCTGATTGGTAGAAGTGGCCGGTTGATTTGCAAGGGTGTCTTGGATATTGTGCCCAAGGCCCGTGCGTACGATAATCAACGTGGGTATTATATTCTGCGGAGAGGATGAATGGTATCGTTCTGGAAACAACGATTAATATGACTTCACCGACCACCAAGTGCTCTGAGGCACATTGTAGCATAATGAATGGGATCCCCCGATGTGAGAATTGGCGAGCGATGGCAATTACGATGGCGAAAATACAGTATAGTGCTCCAGATTCGACTCTTTGGAAGGAGATCAGTCGGCAATAATGTAGCGTTGGTGTAGATTATACAATATTGCAATAACGGTGCTGTACCGATTTTTCAATGCTTCGACAGCGCCAATGTGGACTGCTTCGCGTCGCTTCCACCATATCCGCCCAGCTGGTCAGCCTTCAGCCAGCGGAGGGAATAAAACAAGCAGGCATTTACCAGTGAGCACCACCAGAACCAGGTTTGTAGCGGCCGCCAAGATATAAGGGATTCTTCCGTCAACGTGAAACTGGCCGGGCAAGAGATCAGTCTTTACATCAGTAATACATGCAAAGACTGAAACAACCAACGCCATGTTACTATATTGGTATGGACCGGGGGGCACTGCTTACCGACGGTGGAGATCAAGAGCACGCCGGGCAAAATTATCACCATCTTTCGTCCCCATACCACGTAGCAGCGGTATAACTAAGGTCACTAATTTAGTCAGGCACTCGAATTAGGGAACACTCAACGAAGAGGGAATCTGTGACTAAACTGTGATTAAAATCAGCAAAGAGTCAGATCGGAACTGATTAACCAACTTGTTAATGGAAAAAATCACATCTTGCGCCATATATAGCGAAGCATATGTCTTCTGCAGCTCCAACGGCGGTGCGGGACCGGGATTCAAATTGCTACGTTGTCTAACGAGGTCCTGCATCATGCGGAGAGTCACTGCTGTCGTAGGGATGCGCAGAATGGCTTGCGTTGTCCCCAAGATTGCCATGACCCAGCTGAAAGTGAGCAGAACCCCTTTCCCGGCAGTGTTACGACGCCCAAGGGTGTAGATAGCGAAAATGAACAGGTTAAGGTATAGTGCTGTCGTGGATTAGTCAGGATACAGCAGCCTGGCGTTAGGAATTACTGACCGTAGAAGAAGATCTGCACCTGCACCGGTTGTTGGAGAGTACAGCGATGCGGTTCGAATATTATGCCACGTACACATGTTCCCGAGATTTCGCGCAGTACGAGATCCCAGTAGAAATTGAATGCAGCGGAGTTGACGATGTATTCCATTGGCATATGTAGTGCAATCCGATGAGGTAGTGAGACGAAGGAATCATGGGCGTCTATGATTTGGGGAAATTTTAATGTATACTATTTTTACATGTGACTTGGAATCCGAGATGTGACGGGAGATGATCATTGAGCTCACTAATGGGCGCCTTTAGATACCCCGCCGTTACATAACATGTGAGGCCGGGACTTGATTCTTTTGCCTATCTCCCAACCGACCTTTCAGTAAATCCCGCGTTGTAGAGTAAATTCACACAACAGGATGTCGCAGTTATATGCATCAAATAGGATGATCAAGGAAGAGATCTAGAGATGGTTCGTATCAAAACAGCCGGTATCCCGACAGGCTCGCATCTGGTAGGTAGGCACCTGAGCCTGGGGCTTTTCTATAAAAACACTTCTAATTAGAGGACGCTACTTTTTTAATAAATGCCTCTCATGAGACGTACCATTTTCTGATTGTGGTTGTTTACTGTGCGTAGTGTGGCAAATGGGGTGCAGGGCTAGACTCGTGAACCAGTCCGTTGGCGGATGAAGACCGAGCGAGGCTCGGGCGAAGGGACGGAGGGCAAACACGGCCAACATCAGAGCAAATACAAACAAGACGGTCCTGGGAGTAACGAGCATCAGCGAGGATCTTTGATCCGTGATCACCCGACCAGTTCCGGATGGGGACGAGCCTAGTGCAGGGAGGAAAGAACAAAGGAAGTTGATGAGATCATAACATGAGCAAACAACGGCGTCCTGCCATTATTTGGACGACGGCGAGCGACGCTGACGTCGAATTAGGATGCTGTCAGTCTCACAACTCGCGGGGTACGTTACCTATCACATATTTTATCTACTTACACAACTGAAACAGATATGGGTGCAGCGGACGGAGCGCCAAAATTGACCCATTTTGGGTGGGGCGGAGGCAGCACTGCCACCCGCCTTTTGGCGTGCCGACGAGCGCCCAAACGACGCCGCCGCTGCTTTTGAAGGCCGGATTAGGAAGGAGGGCTCAGCCAGCCTAGTATGGGTGTTGCTCTAACATTCTATAGAAAATGGCTCCTCTAATGAGAGGCTTTTCTTTAAAAATGGCCGTCCTCTCATTAGAACACTTTTCTATAAAGAATCACCGGTATCGCCTGAGGTAGGTAGGTAGGTATTACACGGCATGGTCCCGCTTAGGAACGCCGGTTTGGGGAAGTATCCCGGCATACTACAGGTATTATGTACGCCTTTGTTCCCCACCTCCACTAGTCTCCCAAGCCGAGCAAACGCGTTTTGGTCTGATAGAGGCCGGTTGGTGTGATAGATCACCGGCACACGTGGTAGTACGCGATAGTTGCCGGGCCTCTCTGTAGAGCTCCGTAGACCTGCCATTCCGAGGTAGCATCCTTCGTTCCCTGGAGAACCTCGCCGTCTACCACCCGTCCGTGTAGAGCCGCCTAGATGTCCGCGCTCGGCTACGGATCTACGGTGTATATGATGATCTATCATACTAATAGAGGGGGACATGGCTATGGCCTCTATGGCTCTACAGGTCTCTATGTACTAGTACTATGTGGCAGTGTGCTGTTTTCCAGATGAGTCATCTTGATGATCTACGAAAGGCTGTGTGTTGACCAATGACCATGCCGTGTAATACCTACTACCTACCTACCCAAGCAACGAACAAGGAAGATACAAGTGCTCATTAGTCCCAACGATCATGCCACTTTTCAAAACTTGGCCAACCGACCTCATTCTTGACCAGAAGCGCAAAGTACCGTCCGGGGTACTGATGTCGGATGCATCGCTGCGTGATTCGGAGAAACGGGAAGCCTATGCGGCCAAATTTGGCGACTTTGTGGAATCAGCGTGGATGGCCCGAACACACTCCCTGGACGGCCCTTGCTCTCCGATGTCCGGGACTTGAAACTCACCTCACCTGCCGGGATTGTACTGTCCGGGGTACCGATGCACGACGCATATTTTGGGGGATTGGCCGACATGGACGTTCTCAAGGCTGCTTTATCCGTGGCTACCGTTGACGGATCCCCAGCACGCGGCGAGCTCCCAGGATGGACCCTTGGCCGCTGGCTCCCTCATGGATCTCGCAGACTCGACCC